ATATCCCATAAAAGCTAACGAAATCTCAAGATTGTAAAGCTCAACAAAGACATGCAAATAAATGATGTTTTAAAGGTTAAGACATAAAAATAATGAAAGTAGATTTGAAAGTAACACCACCATAATAATAAATCGATAAAATAAACATCTTCAGAAAATAGGCTTTGAGCTCTACTGTCTTACAGTTGTTGAACGTACAGTATATTAATTTGGCTGAACGTAGGCACATCTTTAAGCAGTGGCAGTAAAGGAACTTCAAACAAAAAGCTCAAAGCCTTTTTTGTAAAAATGTTTATTCTTCCGATTTATTATTATGTGACATTATTTCATTAAAAACTTTCTATAGTTGTAATCTTTGTAATGGGCTTTTTATTTACATGAGCCTTACACTAAAATTTGTTTTCGGTATTGTTATGCCACAACTTTTGAATGTTTCCGTTACTTACATGTTTTTGCTGAGCATTAATATTTCGAACTGCTTTCACCAGCTTTTGTAATTAAATTTTAAGTAATTTTCAGTCGTGAATAACTTCATAACGGAATAGTTTTCGTGATAATTCTATAGTCATCTGACAGTCACCTGATAGCCTGCAGTTCTCTTCAATATCATAAAGAATGAATATAAAAAAGTTGATGCAGATCACGCAGATATGGAAAAATTCTAAATTAGGAATTGCATAAATGCAGATCGATCCACGGAATTTATTCAATGTTTAAGCCTTCCGAGATACTCATTGCTAACACTAAATATTTTAAATTTTATCACAATCGAACCGCGCTCTATAATTCAAAGAGAAATGTAGTGAGTAAAAATGATAAGTTGTTTCAATATGTTATGAAACATAATTGAGAACACAATTGTGCATGAAGGGTGCCACACTGGTTGGGCAATGTAAAGACAGTATTGAAAAAATAGGGTGTAAAGCTGTATGTGAGCTGTGTTTACGATAGCAGACGGCGTGAAACACTGAAATAAAGATAGGCCGATCAACTAAAGAGTGTCTAAAATAGAAACAGATTCTGTATGAGAAATAGGTGTCAAAAGTGTGTGAAAAGAATTCGTGAATGTACAAGAAGCGAAAGAATTATATTAAAATAAAACAAACAACAGGAAGTATAAATGGGGATATGATTTCAACAAATCCAAGAATAAAAGGGCGCGAAAGTGATTTGATTTACTTTATACTTCGTAAGTGTTTTGATTTACCATGCGTTTATAGCATTCTTCAAACAACTGAAGCTTGCATTGTGTGTTTCATGCGACATCCATTTCATTGTATTAATCCACTCATTTAGGGAATGCCGCAACAGTTTAATATTACGTAGGAAAATAACTTTAAGGTTCCAGATTTACGAGACACCCTGTTAATATATTTCTTATATTTATGTTAGATGTATGACCCAGGTTGTTATGAAAGCAGTTATAAAAGTCAAAAATATAATAAAATTTAAACTTATTTGTTGGATTATACAATAATACTGTATTTAAAACAGTATTTTTCAAGAGTTTCTGAACGGTAATATCTGCTAACATGACTAATAAGAAGAAGGTTGTTTCAATTTGCATCGTACTGTACATTGACTATACAGCACAGATCAGGTTGAAACAAGCAGGCACTGTAGATGCACATTTTACTACATAAGACAAATAGTGCTGCTTTTTCGGTTCAGTAGTACTGTATATGGAGAAAGACAACAGCATCATGCTTGTTCTGATAAAAACAATGTTCAAGGTAGCAGTGAGAGCAGTCATTGTAATTTTGACCGCAAATAATGGTCTGATTTTAGAAACGCTAACAAAAGTTTTATCTTACCCATCAACCGACCTTGTTGTTTCGAATTTGTGTTTGGTTAAGCCATTGAAACATAAATTTATGCGTAAAAAATTTGATGATAATATCAACGATCAAGAAAATTAAAGGCAATGTTTTACAGATTCTGTGCACTGGTTTTACAAATATTATATAAATGTGAGAATCTGGTGTTTGGGGAATATTTTAACATAAATTTAAAGTAATATTTTAGTTAATATTTTGAAACATTTGGTAAAACGGAAAAATATAAAAATAAAAATTTATCAATATGTGCATTTCGTCTGTATTTTTTCGATTTAGCAGATGTGTAGTTTTAGTTGAATGAAAATTCACTCCGAATATGACCATATCGGCAGGAAATCGATTGGCCAGCATAATTTTTATATAAGGGGAGAGCCTCTAGACTTAGTGCTGCTTTCGGTCAATTGACTATTGCGGCAAGGTGACACACGCCAAAATAGTTCATGCCTGTCTAAGACAAAAAAGTCGCCTCCCAAAAATCAAAGATATTGGTTCTCTCACAAAGCTCCATGTAATAATTTTTGTAATCTCTCTCAGTCAGCAATTGACAAAGTGTTAGTCAATAGTTACCCTGTTACACTCAAGTTTTACCATAGCCTTTTGTTATAAACCATACTTATGTATTTGCTATGCTATATGCGTATTTAATATGCTTAATATATATATATATCTCTCAATAAGTAGTTTACATAAAAGGAAATTGCAAGTCTTTCACTTTCCCAAATTAACCCGACCCCTCCACCACTCGACTAATAATACGACCCTCTGTATAAGCCATTATTCTTTAAATATGCCACTCGGATTCGATTTAAAGATAGAAGTAATAGCGAGTTGAGGAGTAGATTTAGAATTACCCTAACTGGTGTCAGGAGTGACAGTGACAGGAACTATTAATATTTAGTCTCGGTTAAGACGAGGTAAACATTGAATAGCGACTTTTGACAGTGAGCAGTGTCTTAATGACCCCCGATCTTACATAAATGAGTTTGTTTATTACTGGTATAAATTTATATATCCAAAATTAATGTAAACTTACTGATATTGTGAAGTAACAAAGAGAAGGTAAGGCATCATCCATGTTATTAACATCTTTAGAAAATCGATTTAGCACTTTTCCTGAAAAATATAAAAGATTAAATAACGATTAAATCATATACTTATATAAAAATATGTATATTGATATCATTAAAACAAACAAACGAAAACAAGCAATAATTTACCGTCATATCACAATGCCAGGCTACAATTTTTAATCATATTTTTAATTTATTTAATTGAAAATATGTGCTTCCTACTTGAAATTAGTAATCTTCTCCGCGTAATAATACTTTTTTGTTAGCAATGCAATCCTTCCAGTCATCTACCTAACTCTTTTCAGAAAAAAAGATTTAAATTGAAATAACTGACCTCCGGTGTGCATCGAAAGTTAGTGTATAGTTAATCGAAGCAGCTTATGGTTACCGTTTTCATATCTGGTCTTGACTTTCATTTATCTAACTCCAAATTCGAGAGTTAGGAAAGAGAGTCAGACAAAAACGACTGTAGAAATTTATAGGCTTACATTTTCTTCAAATTGCAGTTTAAATAATAAGATAATTTATTGAGACTCACGAACTAACTTAGCTGGAAACAAAGCATCAGAATTCTACGTAAAAAATACTTGCCTACTACTAAAATTTCAACAGCACGTTGAAGTGAGTGAGAAGGTAAAAAGGTACTTAATTAATTTAATTTGTCAAATTTTTATGAAATTTTATACTCTGTAACAGATAATGAATATCTATAATATCATGAAGGATATGAAAGTTCTGCATGTAAAATGGAAATGCAAGCAGCCGTATTTGTTTACATAATTTTAATTTTATCTAAATAATAATTTTTTTTTTGTATATGGTCAGAAGAATTTTAGCCTAAAATTACTTAAATATTTTTACATACCTACAGGATTATTGTCCAAAAATGATATTGGAGTTCGAATAATACAACGGAACATATTGTTATGAATTTTGGTAGATGCAGCTGTAAAGAATTTCAATAATAGTGAACCCGTGGGTAACATGGTGAAACACACTGCACATATCAATCCAAAATAGACATATACGTTGAATTCGTCACTCTGTTGAAAATTTCTGCCTTCAATATGGTTAGAGACTGTTGTGTTAGATGTTATACTTTCTATTTCCTTCTTACTTTGGCTATAAATTCTTCTATCTTGTAGCCTGAAAATTAAACATAAAATAACAGTCTAATTTAAAAATTTTTTAGTACTTTGTTAAAATCGATAGATAAGTAAAGTAATAAAAGCATTAAATAATGTTAAAGTAGAAGTTATACAACTGATGAAATGCATGGAAAATTTCACAAAAAATTTAAGCGTATAATTTATCGAGGATGCACGTCGTAGATATTCATAACTATGCAAGTGAAGATACTAAAGATAAGGTTCGCATGGAATTATTCGAAAACTCTCTTCACTTTTTGACATTTCTTCAAACTGCAGAAAAGACAGATGTCAAAATCAATTGCTACAAAGCTAGAAATTAGAATTAGACAACCCTCTACTCCGAAAAACCAATAGATCAAATATACAATTGTGACAATTCGCAAAGCGCCTTTGTCACAATGCTTCGGCACTACGGGACCGATGACTCGACACCGCGTTTGCAATGACAAAGTTTATCATGACTGACACTACTGTGTCTTTTAGGACAGACACAGAAACTTTAATGGCAGCTAATTTCGATTTTGCGCAAGCGGTAGAGTTTGTAGGCACTTGGATCCAGGATGAAGGCAACAGGAGAGACGGCACGGGATTAAGGAAGTGCATCATACACAATTCTAACAATCACAAATATCCGTTTATCAAGCTATTTACAAGTACTGTAATCAAAAGATATGCGGTTTACTATTCAAGGGTTGAACATCACGCTTATCTGCTACTTATTTTCTTAAGGTTAATATTTTGTAATAAAGGCTATGTACACGATAATAAGTAATTCGCGAGTTGTAAGTTGAAGAGATAAAGTTTACATAGCGTTTACATAGATACCTGGTAAAATATCTGAGAATGTGTTGTCCATACGACAACGCATTCTCATGATGGAGTTTACGATTTAACGGATTGATGGAGGAAGGATGCATCGATGCATGAATCTTTGAAGGGATGAAAGTCAAATAGGTGGGTAAAGTATTTTAGCGCTTGGGCAACTCTGGCGAGGATAAAGTTTCGATGATCACGGATACCTCGGTTGGACAAACTCTTCGTCAGACGAACAAACCCTTTTGTGAGATGGATAAACTACCTGTCGTCATCAGTCGTTGTCTCTCATTGGGGTCCTCTTTCTTTTTTCCGTTGCCTGTTTTTGGCATTGTTACCACGGCTATGTCCAATAGCAATTTCTTGTCACTAAGTTCCTAGTGACACATTCGATGTGTCATCTTGGAAGGAAAGTGACTCCACTCAGGGATAACATCATATCTTTTACAATTTTAACAATCGTAAGAAAAATTATAGCAAGATTATATTATCAAATTAAATTTTCAACCGCTAAATTTTTGTCAAGTCCGGGCTCTCGAACAATTATTACTAATGTTTATTTAAAAAAAAGTTTTAAAGACTTCCACATAAATAATATCTCTTGTTTAAAATTGTTTTTAAACGGATTACGAAATTTTCTTATTACTGATTTTAATTTTTATATATAATGTTTTATAAACTTGTAAGCACTAGGTCCATTATTACTATATTTATTACACCGTGTAATAAGTGTAGTAATAAAGAAAGTTCGACATAGTGCTTACAAGTTTATACCAAGACTAGAGAAGAAGCGTACCATAGCATTTAATCTTCTGTTATTTTTAATGTTTACAAGTATGATTTTTTCAACTTTAACATTATCGTTATTTCTACTTTTCTTCGGTTAGCAAGATCTATTTAGGAGTCTTACAATCTTTCACGGTAAAGCAAATAAAAAATTTATAAAGTTAAAAAATTTCCATAAAATTACCAATTAATAGCTTACAAAGGATCACTGAAGACTAATGTTACGTAAAAACATTTTGTATAATGTCAAAGATAAAAATTAATTTTAATTATTAGTAAATTCATAGTAAATTCTAAAACTTAGATTTACATATTAATTTATCTTTAAAAAACATCACTTAAAACAATTTGGGGATAACATAAGTGAGAAAGTTTATATTGTTACTTAATATATTTTGTATAATGAAAATTCTTTTACGTATTTGTATAATGAAAATTCTTTTACGTATTGTAAGTATTTTGCCAGAAGTTTTATATTCGTATTTATTGAAGGAGAATGGAATGTGCTCCAAATGCGCTTGTAAGTGATAGGAAAAAAAACGGAAATAGGCTTGAATTTTTTTTCTTTCTTTCACACTTCAAAAGTTGTCTTTTAAGTTATCGGTAGAGAAATGTAAAGATTTAAGAGGTAATGCGTGGACCACCAAAACTTCAGCAATTAACGACATTGTGTTAAATGCTTATAGTGAGAGCTGTGTAATTTTGAAAATCTTAATACTATTACAAAACACAGGCATTTCTCACCATAACTATATAATGCTGTTATGTAATAAACAAACATTTTCGAATTTATATATCCTGTTTTTTTTCAAAATTAATTCTTATAATTTTGATGAGTTGCATTTTGTGCAACATGATTCTAAAATTGCGTTGTAGTGCAGCGATCAATATTTCACAAAAGCCACATAAATAAAAACGGTTGTTAGGACATACTGGTATGTGATTTTCTAGTTTCTAATATATTTATACTTTACTGATAATCGAAATATTAGTTTTTCGTTCTGTTTAAAAATATGTATTAAAACATACAAACAAAGGAAAAAGTCAAAGACAAGAAATCAAGTTATCGTAAGAAATGACTTAACACAGCATAAACACAGAAGCCACAATTGATACGTTGTACCTTGAAAATTTAAATGAATATTTCATGTTATATGATGGTATATTTGTGTTTATAAGAGAAATCAATAAAGAAAAAAATCTTATATAACTTTGAAAATACATCAGAACATATGGATCTGAAAGTACCTTAATGTGTAAAAATATGCATTTGTGTTTAATGTTCATGAATTGTACTTTAAAAAATCTTTTCCTATAAATGTACATATTCAAAAACATCAATGTGATTAAAAAATTGAAACTATTTCAAGAAGACAATTAAAGGAATATTAAACTAATATGTTGTATTCATAATTAATTAGCAGATACAGTCGACTCCCTATAACACGGGAGATACGTTTCGTTTTTTTATGAAATTTATGTTTTACGAGTCCTTAATTACATGAGCCAATCACAGCCCAGCACGTATGCAGTTTACGGACTACAGCTGTTTGAAAGGTTTCCTTCCATAAAATTAATCAATTCTAAACTAATTCGACTCAACATTTTCAAAATACATATAATCTTTGGGAATAATCCATATAAAGTATGCTATAAAAAAATTGTAAAATTACTTACCGAGTGTGGACCGTTCGACGACGCCATTGCTTAAGCTTGTTTTCATCGCAAAGCGGCGCATCGAACGGGGGGGGGTGCGCGTCTTTCTTGATAAATTATTTTTCTGTAAAAATTTGCTGAACTTTGGAAACATCATTAATATAAATATAATTTTTATGGACGTTAAATAATAAATAGTTTTTAGTAAGACCACTGCTCGTTTAAACTCGACGGTTTGTGCAATATCCGCTATTGGTCTAGATTCGACCAATCCTGTCGTGACACGAGTCGGTGATTCCGTATTACCGAATTATACGAGTTTCTTTTAGCGTGTTTATACGAATTTTATACGAATGTTTATACGTGTTTTATTATCGCAATTTTTTCGCCGTTATATACGAATTCGAATTATATGAATCCGTTTTATAGAGGTTTACTGTATAGTAAAATAGATAACAAAGCATTATGTAAAGTTTAATGAAAATTTTGCACTACGCTTCTTGTTGGGTCTCGCATACCCAGGCATTTTTTCGTTTAAAATTACAGGTGTGCTGCAAAAAAGTTTAACAGAATGTTGTAAGAAGTAAGCAGTTGAAAATATAGTAATTTTTAAATTTTCTAACAAACTTTCAATACAAAAAAATACAAAAAAATAACATGTGGTTTTATGATTCACAACTAAAAAGTAAAATTAATTAACTGTAATGACAGCATACCATTTGATGATCCAATAGTCACTGGCACTTATAAAGGATTGAGATACAACTAGCATTATTAATATAATAATCTTGAAGAGAACACCCGCTCCTGCATTGACGTATGCTTTATAAACTAAAATTTTGACTTCTCCTTGTTCATCATCATCACGTGGGGTTTGCTTATTTTCAGCATCCTGTACGAAATGAGTTAAAAAATTATGTAAATTATACTCGGAAGTATGCTTAAATCGGATAAAAAATATTATTATAGATCTTTTGCAAATAAAAAGATTTAAGATACAGTTTTATATAATTGTAAATAAAATAGCTTACTCTCGGTTCATAAAATTATTAAGTGTTATTTTGAATATTTCTTCCCACATAAAAACAGAATAAAAATTACAAAAGAAAGAATAACAAAAAGAACATGAGAATAAGTCATTATCAGAGACGTCTGTGAAATAATAAATGCAGTAAATATACTTGAATTGAAAAGTATATTTACTGCGTTTATTATTTATCTGTTGTGAGTTCGTACCCCTCCAGGACGTGCTGGCCAAGTGGAGATTTCGAGATTTCCTCCACGTCAGTAACGCCTGAATGGGGCCAGTTACCCTTAAAAACACCTTTAATTAAGAAGGCATCCCCTAGGCAGATCGCCGAAGTGTTACGTTGCCATAACTTAATATAACGAACAAAGAAACAAACCTTACACAATTTGTAATAAATTCCAAATTTCACATGTTTATGTAAATTGACGCAATACCCTCGATTCATATAAAAATGTGAAATTTCGAATATACCGAAACTTGTGAGGACTTAGTAGTTAAATTCATAAATAAACAACTTTTGATATCAAAAGGAAATATAAATGATAATTGATCTGTTCAGTGGTTCTGCTTATTTAGATTTTAACGAATGTATTGTTTGACTTGCAGTGGTAGTTTCAGGGACAATGGTAGGAATAAAATATCATAGTTTAAGAAAAAAAGAAATTTGACGGCAACTTGTATTTTAAAATTTATTGACTCAAGCGCTGTTAAAATTTGGAGTACAATAAAAGTGCGATATAATCGAAACCGCGATATGATTAGGCGCGATATAACGAACGAGTAGGCTACTGTATTATATTATGCAATGACACAAATAATTTAGAAATTAGCGACATATAAGCAGTTGCGTTGTCGTGATGGAGCTTTCAGGTATCGGCGATCTCCCTTCGGACGTGGCGGACCCTAAACCTCAAACGAACACTTAAGCAGCGATCAGAGATCAAAAGTTCTCGCATTTTAGCCACATTTTCATTGGTTCGGTTTTCTGTTCGATGTCCACCGCGTTGTTCACCATTGACGTCTTTCCGGCCATCTTTGAATTGTTTACGTCACTCAAAAACACACGCTCTGGACATGGCTTCTTCTTTGTAGGCCTCAAGTATCGAATCAAAAGTTTCCGTAGTGGATTTGTTTAATTTAATGCAAAATTTGATGTCAAAACGCTGCTGGATGATTCGCTGCGTCTTGACTCTGGACGCAAGCACTAAACACACATTCTCTTCAGTCGTGATCTACACACTCGAAAGCTCGGAGACAACGGAGCCGACTCTGATAGCTTACGTAACATCCTATGTCAGCAATCCCGCCCATAGGGACCGCCCTCTATCCCTTCCAACTGACAAGAAAAAATCAGTCCCGATACTAGTCGGACAAACCCTGTATATTACGAAAAATTGTAATTTGTTAAGTGTATAAAAGTTCAGGTTTCCCGCTAAATTTACAATATATCACCTTCTATTACTTTGTTTCATTGCTTGGCAATGATTTGTTATATTGCATTATCATTAGTATTTTAAAAATATTATCCTTTTTTTTAGCAAGGACTTTCTAAAGTGTTTGCCACTGAATATGTCTGTAAATGTTTTATTTATTTGTTTTGAAATTTTGTAATTATAAGCTTTCAATAACCAAACTTATTGTATATTATTCTTGATAAGAGCAAACAATTTTTCCTGTGAATTTTACTATTAGAAAAAAATTTTCAAGTGTAAGTGTAAGTAAAACCGTTATGAGAAGAAAACTGTAATATATTAAAATATTTTTATTTGAATGTGTGAAGATAGCGATAAACTTAGTATTATTTTGAATCAATAGAGAAATAACTGCAATTTATTTTAAATTTGACATAATAAAATTTCAAAACGTGTTTTGTATTAGTAAATGGAAAAATTCAAAATATTTTTCTTGCGTTAGTGAATGGATTTAGAAATACTTATTTCTAAAAAATTTATAAATTTAATTTTATTTTTCGTTACAATTAGCGAACTTTTGAAGACGTTATTTATTGAAAATTTTATAATTTGATTTTAAAATGTGTATACTGGACTAATCATAAATACATAAAAAAAGGTTATATCTGCAAAAAGAACAATTTTTTTTTTTTTTCAATTTGTACTGTATTTAGAAAAACTTCTTGAAAAGTAGTTCTTTCCTAAAATGAGTTTTATATAATATAAACTTCAAAATGAAACATTGAATGGCAGAGCCAGCCATTCAATGTTTCATTTTGAATATGATTGATATTACTGTTATTAATTCAATGATATTACTGAATCTATCTGTCAATTCGAATAGTTTTATTGTATGATCACAAATTAACACAAGAAGTAAAGAACTTAGTCTAAAGTAAAAACTGACATTATTACAAATGTAAATCTGTCTCTGTAATCCAAAAAATACACTTTGGAAGTCGTAACTCACAGCTATTTTTTGGTTAGCAATTTATTTTTTATTTTCTATTGAACTACAAATATATTTCGGGTTGGTATAATGTACTCTAACCCCTTACAGTGACTTGATCATTATGTAATTACAAAAAAAATTTTTTTGTTGTTTTGCTCAAAACAGGGAGTGGGAAGGTCAAACCACTCTTATCCTTAACAATCATTTTATTTTTTTTACACATGGGTATATAACAGACGTAGTAAAAACTGTTGACATAGTAAAAATTGACATATGTATGTAAAAGTTTTTGATACACAAACAATATTATTAAAATTATAAGCGTATCAGAATTACTATGAAAAAATTTTTTACAAATAATTATACCATGTTTAAACATAAATCTTTTTGTTCAAACATGGTATTCTGATATTATGTTTAAACATGAACATGATATTATGTTTAAACATGGTATAATTATTTGTAAAAAATTTTTTCATAGTAATTCTGATACTCTTATAATTTTAATAATATTGTTTGTGTATCAAAAACTTTTACATACATATGTCAATTTTTACTATGTTAACAGTTTTTACTACGTCTGTTATATACCCATGTGTAAAAAAATAAAATGATTGTTAAGGATAAGAGTGGTTTGACCTTCCCACTCCCTGTTTTGAGCAAAACAACGAAAAAAAATTTTTTGTAATTACATAATGATCAAGTCACTGTAAGGGGTTAGAGTACATTATACCAACCCGAAATATATTTGTAGTTCAATAGAAAATAAAAAATAAATTGCTAACCAGAAATTGCTGTGAGATACATCTACCAAAGTGTATTTTTTTGAATTACAGAGACAGATTTACATTTGTTAATGTAATCAATTAAACATTTATTCAAACACAACCAACAACAGACTTATCATATTCTAGCCTATGTTCATCCAACAATTAAACTTATTAACATGCAAAAGACCAGTATGCAATTCAACAACAAAAAACAATGTTGTCTTCCTCAGCTGATTTTAATTCCACAACTTTTTTCTTTTGTTGTCGAAATGCACACTAGTCTTTTGCATGTCATTAGATTTAATTGCTGAATGAACACAGGCTAGAATATGATAAGTCTGTTATTGGTTGTATTTGAACCAGATGTTTAATTGATTATCTAAAATACAGACAAAAGGCATTTGATATTTGTATATATATATATAATACTATCTTAATATTAATTTGTGTGTTTTGAAAATGTTCTTGTAAAGAAGATCAGTTCTGAAAGCTAATAACTAATTGACTTTTTAATTATTGTAAAAATCATTTTTCACTAATGTGTTGGGTGTTCCAGTTTGTTGTTATGTCAGAGAGGTTTACCTCAAAGACAAATGCTATAAACATCTCAACTGAAGAGGGCTTAGAATTTTTAGTAAGCCAAAATGCATTTTGATAATTTATAATAAGGAATATTGTTAAGTAAAGAGGCATTTTTATGGTCTCCAATTCAATTAATTGACCATTCATTTTATAGAAAGTTTTTAATTTTATGTCAAAGCTTTTGAATTAAAGATTGTTTAAAATTGGTAATATGGAAATTTTTCAGATCAGTAACAATAAATAAATGTTACACTAACATATACATTACAATTATTTAAACATCTAAAATTTTAAATACATTAAGTTCTTATATCAACATCAAAATTATTGTTTTAGGTGTGTATATATACAATTATCAATAATCATCACAAATAATATAATTAACAATCAAATTATTTTTTAAAGAAATAAAAATAAAATAATATTCAGATACTAACCCTTTTTGTTTGTCTGGTGTAAATCCAACCATTTCCATTGACTGTTTAAGTCTGTTGAATTCATATGCTTCATCAACTCCTTCCACTTTAAAACAATCACTCTGAAAATGTTACAAAATTATATTATATATATATATACATATATGAGTTATTTATTCTAAATTAGGTTTTAAACAAAAGTAACTTTATAAATACTATGCTATAATTTAATATAAAAACTATATATAATCTATGACTATTTTAATTAAACAATTCTTTGTAATAAAACATAAAACTTACCTGATTAAGATAGTAATAGTCTTTAGATTGATGTAAATGAAACAAATTTCTTTCAGCATCATTTGCTCCTTCCAGCATATAGTAAAATACATGATAATTTCTTTCATTTTTAGACTGAGATATAATTCTTGATTTTTCAAGTAAATATTTTTGAACCAAAGCTCTAAAAGTAATAATAGTAAGAAATTTTTAAAATA